GTAATAAATCTGTGACAGATTTATTAAAGTTTCATTTAGTAAAGTTTCATCTTAACCTCCTCAGTTAGTGGTGGTTTTTCTTGTTGAATTTTAATGCATTAGAATAGAGGCAAGAGAAATCCTAGACCCAGTTCAGTGGTGTATTTCCTCCCTGACTTCAGTGGGGATAGATTTTCTCTCTGAGAACTCCCTCTGTAAAGGTCTACTCTACGTGTTTCCCCTTGAGAAAGCTGGCCGATAATTTCTTGAGCTAACAGCAGCAGGAAAAATAACCTCTAAGGTTAATCAAGAAATATTAAGGAACACTTACAACTTTACCTCTTCCTATTTTAGTCCTGATATTGATAGCAAACAAGATAACATATCACTAATTGGGTGAAGGACAAGATACCTGGTTGTGTCATGGTTATGATATTACTGGTAGCTCTTGATAGATACAAACAATTTTACAATAGGTAACAGTTGAAAAAGTAACAAACAATACAGCCCTCTAATGGTAAAACTGAATGCTAACATTTCAAAGAATAAATAATAATTGCATGGGAGAAATATTTTTATACATCATATAAAATGTGATGCTTATAAACCTTTCTCTGGTACTACTGACACTATCTGGATTAAATACATTAAATCCAAACTGTGGATGATGATGTATCCAAACACACAGCAAAAACATGCATCCCTAATCTTAAAGGCCAGCAGAACTGAAAGAGGCAAGAGAATCATGCATGATTTCTCTCAAGAACTGCATAGCTCACAAACTTGTACTGTGCTTTGGGGGATCCTTTGCCTGGTTTCAAAAAGAATTGTCTCTCCACTAGGGACAGTTTGCTTTCCTAAGCTACACTGGGATCTGACTTTGACCTGAATCCTACTTTTGAGTGCTGATGATTGAGACAAGAGCTGTTTTTGTAGTTGACTGTACTTACGGTACTGCCCTATGGTTTCCAAGCCAGTGATCCTGTTGTGCTATAAAAGCACCAACTGAAACTAAGGGATTTTATTCTCTTAATGAATGTTAGAAAACATGGTTATGCTAAATTAATTAAAATGGGCGATAGTTATTTGCAGGAAGTACACTGGGAGAGAATCCTGGCTCTGTTCTTTGTACAGACCTCTAATCAGTTAGCTTGTCATGTGTGCTGGCTTTCTCCCTTGTGGACCAGTCCAAGGGTAGACATAAGCTATGTGAGGAAAAGGCTAAAGATATGTACTAATAAAATTGCTGATGTGAAATTTTTTCTCTAGTTATATGGGGATAAAACCTCAGTTTTAGGGATATACTTCTTGCAGAGTTTTCTAGTGGCTGTCTATTTGATGCCCTTTGCATGGGTCTGTCCCTAAGTGAAGGTCTACTATCAGTATTAAGCCCTGGATGTCCAATAGTAAAAGCTAGGAGCCTCATTGCTACCCCAACAAATAGGTTCTGCTCTCATCCCCTCATAGCAGTCACAGCAAGTCCAACAAGACTGACATGGAAACACAGGCTACTTCTCCTCTTACCTCATATTTTTTTAATGAGGAGTTTAATGTAATTTCTGTGCTTAAATCCAGATCTCCTTCTTCTGGAAAGCTTACAGTGGTGTCACAGCTGGCCATCAGAGACAGCCAGTGCATCATGTAAGGACAATTATGTGAACTACATAGAAAAACATTGTTATCACTTTTATCTCTTCCTAGCTGCTATATCATCCTCATATTACATCACACAAATACTTTTTAAGTTCTTTGTAGTAAAGGCTTTCCTTTCTCTTGTGTTTGTAGAGCAGAGCACCAACCCTTCACTGATATGAGTGGGTGCTGCTACTGTGCAGCTAAATACTTGAATGAAGGGCTAAACTCTACTCTTACTCAAAGCAATCAGTAAATTAATCTGTTTCAAATTGGGCAATGTTTTAATACATTCATCTTTTCAGCTGAATTTCCTTTCTAAACAAAATAAGCTGTTTCAGGGCTGACGTAGACCCCAGGATATTCATTTAGGCTGCTCTTTGAATCCATAAATTGGTGTGAGCCCTGAGTCTTTTGGGGGTTGTTATAGTTAGAACCACACATGGAATCTCATAAGCACTACTGAAGCTCTTTAAAATATGACTTACTAAGACATACAGATTTGCATAGGACACAGCAGTTTTGGACTAGTTTGTACAATTTCTAGAATGGGAAGAGACAGCAAATAAATATATTGTTCTGATTAGAAGCACCCCCAGAAATAACTTCATTAGAATTGCATCAATGGCATTTCTGTGATTTTTTACCTACTTTGACCTTGAAATACAAGATAGCCAGGCTTCTGCAAATCAGATAGTATTAACATTTTTTTCACTTTAAAATTCAAAAGAATTTCAGGCCAAAAATATATTTTGTAAGTAGGTGGGTGATACTGACCATCACACTGAAGACAGAGAATTTGCCATACTTGCCCACAGCATGCCCCTTACTATAGACTACAGACTGCTTCTTTCTCATTTCTCTTATATTTCTAATATCAAGGATTGCGTTTTCATTCAGAATCATTTAACACGACTATAGCTGTATCATCTGTGGGCATTTGTTATCAGGAAAGCAAATTAGCTTTTTTTCTCTTATGTTTTCTGAAGTGTTTTAGCAGTTGCAAAGGACAAGATAAGAAGACTACACATATTATTGTATGAATCACGTCTGGAGAACTAGTGATTTGCATGTCTGTCCTTTGTTTTTGAAACAGTTGATCTATAGTCTAGAAGGGTCTTAACAAGACCCTTCTCTTTTCATGCTATGAAGAAATTGTCCACTGTTCATTTAATTTCTAACTAGCTGCTTTCCATGGATACTTTAATGCTAAAGTTTTCTCTCCTGATTATCTGTCAGTACCTCAACTCTTTGCAGTTCTTTCCAGACTGGGGATTTACAAAGAGCTGTATGTTAGTTTCCCAGCTATTGACTTACAGCACAGCATATTTTATTCTAGAGGTGACAAATGTATTATATTGTATAAAGAATCCCACAAATTCCTTAATTATATGAACTCATTTGTGTGAGAGGTAAAGTCTATAAAATCTTTACAGATTTACTCTTATAATTATAATTATGCCAAATTCCTCCACATCTACTGCATTTACCTATTGCATTTGCCAACACCACTCTTATGCTGGGAACTTAGTAGTGCTAAGTTCTCTCAACAGTAATAAATTCAGCCTCAAATATCAGTCCAGGCCTGATGTAGTATCTGGAAATGTCTCTATCATTCCACTAGTTTTATAGGGAACACAGTAAAAAATAAAAACCAAATCTCTGCAAAACAAGCAAAACCACAAAGGCAGTATTTCTGGCTGCTGAGTCTACATGAATGTCCTGCTATGAAATTTCCAAAAATCTTTGTGTCCCAGTTGATGATGCACCAGCTTTTTAGGAGGACCAGTACTTAGGAGTGTGTTCTTGTCTCTTCACATCATCACACATCACAATGCAAAGGTCAATTTTCTTTCACCTCATTTGTCTGGTTGTACACTGTCATTACAGGATCCACTCTGTAGTTCAGGAGGAGTAGGTAGGTGGAGACATAATTTATTTCTCATCATGAAGACACATAATAGTGTCTAATTTTTTGCATGAGTGCTTTCTGCAAGACAAATGACAGACTATTGTTTTGACTAGAACTTTTTACATATGGACCTGGTTTGTTAGAGGTACTTCCTTTTAGATGCCTGGCCTCTCTAACACACAGGAATCAATTTGGTCAAATATAATTCGTAGGTTGGATTTTTCACTGCAGAAAAGTATAATCTGAGCTGAAAAAATGCCAGATATGTACCACTTCCTTCTTCTATTCCTTCTTCGCAAAGATGAATCAAGTAGACATCATCCCGACACTTCATGGATCCAAAATGTAAATGAAGGTAGAATCAATGCATTTTCAATAACCTGCACCATTACACAGAAAACACTCGCCATGTCCTTCACTGAGAAATATTAATGTTCTTTATAGTAACAGTTAAAGGCTTTTTAATGTGTTTTGCACTTTCTCTTAGAAAGTGACAGTTACAAATTATGCTGTCACTTCTATGACTTTAAAAAAAAAAGTATTTTCATTTGTTTTCTTTTGGCTTCACCTTTTCTCCTGTGTTCCCATTTCATTCGTTACGTTTTAAAGAATCCCACTAATTAGCTGGAAGCTATTTAAACATTGACTACAATAAAATCTATATCCCATTTTTACAGCATCTGAGGGACTGTTTTCAGAAACCAATCTGCGTAGGTGGGTTGGAATGCAAGCACAGGAGACCTTCCTCACCACATCACAGTGACCTACAGAGAATGAGATCCTATATAAAGAGAAAGAAAGGGGACATTGCACTGGCATACATTTTTATAAAGCTTGGCACTCTCTTGTTATGGTTTGAGGGGGCACAGGTCAATTTTATGGTGTTAATACATGGACCTAGAGAGAAAGCATCGTTGAGGGGTCCAAGGGGAAAAACAGAAAGGGGTTAGTATTCCTTTCTTTTTCCTGTCTTACCCTATAAAAGCCAGGAGAGTGGGAAAATCTACTCCTTCCCATTTTTCCTTCCTGCCTCCTTTTGCTCATCCAGTGGACATCCGGGAGAGAGACTCCTGCCCTTTGTCTTCAGCTGTCCACATGCTCAGCAGGATCCAACTCCATTGGTTGCTGGGAAGAGTCCTTGCCCCTTTTCCTGAGTCAGCTCTGCCACAAGGGGCTTTAGGACAGCTATATCAGTGATCATTGAAATCAGGTTTTGTACATATTAATATAATTTTCATTATTATCCCACATGTTACTACCCTTTCCTGTTATAGGAAACCAGTTCTAGTTTTGGCTTCCAGCCTTGAAGTCTCTCCTCCTTATTCCCTTTTTATCTTCCTGTGAGAGGGTGGGGGAGAGTAATAGAGAGCAATTCTGTTCTCTGGATTTGGTGCACCCTGACCATTAAAAGAAGATATCTCTCTACCAGTTTACACCTTGCCCACAGACTTGAAAGGAATTTGTTCACTCATTAAATATGGGGAATGAGGAGAAATTCTGTCCAATGGAGGTTTTGGGAGGGCTCAGACCAGATAATGACGCCACATTTGGAGACCAGCCTGCCCACAGCAGAAAGGGAAGACACAGTAGCCACTGTCTGATGGAATATCCTTTGCATATGGATGGGATAGAAGCAGTAGCTGCTACTCTGGTAGGTTCAGCAAGTCTTGGGGCAGCATGACCAGCTGGGGCTAGAGCAGCAGCAATTTCCATGGAAACAGCCTGTGAATCAAAAACCGCTAAAGCTGCTCTTTGAGCACTAAATATTCTTCAAACTAACTAAACGAGAGATTCTGCTTCTCAAAGAGCAGTCTGAACTAGTCAGGTGAAGACTGTCAGATATGACACGGAAAAGCAGCTAACGAAAGCCTGGTTTTGGAGGTTCTGAGAGATGATCTAAAGTATCAGTCTTTTAGACACACCTGAAGGTAATTTGCATTGTTGCTTTTTCCTTTGCTGCAGAACAAGTTGCTAGAAAGTAGGGGGTTTAAATGAGATGGAAAGAATCTTTGCATTCCTAACTGAATTACAGTTTATCATAAGAACAGCCAGTTGGGGTATGGCAAAGCAAAATATGTAAGGTACACTTAAGGAAATAGGAAGATTAACATTCTTCTTAGTAAGGTAAGTGATTTAAATGGAATATCCAGGTCCTACCATTGACAGTGCAAATAAACTCCTTTCTGAGATTAGCAGGATAAAACTAATTAGTCCTAATTGAGTTGCCAGCAGACAGAGTCTCCTCAACTGGTCTCTTATGTAACAAGATATTTCATATAATGAAATTATCACCTGTGTGTGCAAACATATTTAATAGGACCCACTGTGCTCACTGAAATGCCTAATGCTTTGAAACTCAAAATGCACCATGGTATTAACTTTGTGGATGGATACCTATGAAAGCTTACATGTGTGAGACAGGGTGGATTTTGCTGTATCTGAACCAAAGATTGTTCATATCCAGCAAATAATAGATGTGATAATAGAAAAAAATCCTTCAGATACGGAAGCCAGCTGAGACTGTAAAATAGTACCTACAATAGAGTTCACTAGAATTATTACAGCCAAGCAGAGGCCAAATCCCAGACCAGTCTTCTGCTATTTATCACTTTGGCCAACAGGTCTGTTGCATGAAGAATCTGATTGAACTCTAAGGGGGTGGTAAGGAAAAGGCAAGGTGTATAATTGAATCTGAGGCACCTACCCTCATTCTGATGGAGGAAAACAGGCAAGAGAAAGAAGACAGAGAATCTGGGAAATTACAGGCTGATAAATCTAAGCTCAGTTTTTGGGAATAAATTGGAACTGGACATTGGAATAAAACCATGTGGAAACCACTTGCAGGCACATGAAGGAAAAAAACAGCTGGGTTGGATTTAACCATGGAAAGCACAACTGATCTACTTGATTTGTTTTCCATGAAGAAATGACTTGATCTAAGGACAAGGAAACAGAGCAACAGATGTTGTTTACCTTGACTACAGCAAGATTCTCAGCATGGTATTCCAAGTTACTAAGTTCAAGAAATGTATTTTGTATAGATTGAGTATAAGGTGGACAGAAAATGTCTGGATTGTTGACCTGAAAGGCTAATGGTAAAAGGTTCAAAGTCCAACTGGCATCTGGATATCAGTCGCACTACTTGGTTGTTGATAATAGCACTCATAGTGCTTAAATTATTCATTGATTACTGGCAGCATTGAATACCCACCCAAGGGACTTGCAAACAAGAGCAAGCTGGGGGAGAGGCTGATATGCTGGAGAGCAGGACTGCCATTCTGAGGAGCCTTCACTGGCTGGAGACATGGGTCAACAGCAATCTCAAGAATTTCCGCAAGGACAAATCGAAGTCCTGTACCAGGCCTGTCATAACCCCATGCAACAAAATAAGCTGGGGACTGGCTAGCTAAATAGAAGCTATGGAGAACAGTGTTTGGGAGTCCTGGTGGACAACAAGCTGAAGATTAATTGTCAGTGTGTTCCTTTGGTGCAGAAGGCTGCAAACTGGATTTTACTAACAGGACCATAAACAATAACTGGAGGGAGAGATTATTCCCTTCTGCTTGTTTATGCAGCACATTTTTTAGCCAACACCTTTTGCTGGTGAAAAGCTGTGGGAGTGTTAATAAAAATGTGACCTAGAGGAATAACAAAAGTGTTTTTCCAATCTGATAACTCAATAGAAAAGTAACAATAGGAAAAGTACACTCTTCTTCATCACTTAAGAGATTCTATTATTTTGGTAGGTATTTATGTTTCACAGGGAGAATACTGGTTAGGAGAGTCTAACAAACAAGGAAAAAGGTGGATTTTGTCACAGAACCTCAAAAAATATGTCATAAGGCTTGTGTGTTCACACAGAAATTCAGGAAATTTGCAAACTCTTTGGTACATCTGCTGTTTTGACAGATGTCTGGGCAAGGAAATAGAAACCTTCCCTGATTCAGTTTCCTACCATGTCTCTGAGTCCTGTCATTGATCACAGGAGTGAAGAGACCAGTACCTGCCCCATCTCTTCCCCTAGAGCAAAGAACCAACTGAAGTAGGAAATAGGATAAGGTTCAGGTAGGAGGACCTTCTAGAAACACCAGTAGGCAACTTTTCGTAGTAATCATCTACAGCGATTCTCGTAAATGCTTTACATATCTAGTAAATACCAACAGATGTTTGGTAGGATATGCTCATAAACTTAATGTTATTCAGCATCAAAAGAAAGGGGAGAGTAGAAACAAAGCATTTCCATCCACAGTAGCTGACATAGCTGACACCTATTCGTATCAAATGTTTAGTGGAGATTACCTGCAAAAGGCAATTGCAACTGCAATTCTGTCCCATGGCAAAGATCGTACTATTTTTTCATAGAATCATAGAATCATTAGGGTTGGAAGGGACCTTAAAAATCATCAAGTTCCAACCCCCATGCCATGAAAAGGGATCCCTACCACTAGATCAGGTTACATAAAACCTCAGCCAACCCAGTCTTAAAAACCTCCAGGGATGGGGCATCCACAACCTCCCTGGGTAACCCATTCCAGTTTCTCACCACCCTTATAGTGAAGAATTTCTTCCTAATATCTAACCTAAATCTCCCCTCTCTCAGTTAAAAACTATTACTCCTTTTCCTATCACTATATTCTCTGATGAAAAGCCCCTCCCCAGCTTTCCTTTAGGCCTCCTTTAACTACTGGAAGACCACTATAAGGTCTCCTCAGAGCCTTCTCTTCTCTAGACTGAACAGCCCCAATTCCCTTAGCGGGTCTTCATGCATCTTCTTCCCCATCCAGTTTTTGAATTCACTATCTTCCATCAGTGCACAGCTGATAGTTGACCATGGGTCAGTAGCTTTTATGAACACCACAACTAGCACAAGAAGATGAATGCATGCGGCTTTTTCCTCCCATGGGACAGCTCAAGGCTTGTGATAGTGATCTGAACTGAAAATCTGAGCTAGGTTAATACCTTCTTTTTATTGTTCTGTTTGTTGTCCAAGGGAGGCAATAGCACACGCATGGAGAAGTTTAAAGGCATTTGTGAAATAAAAGCTTTAGACACAAGATGGAGATCCAGCCCCACTGGTTCACATGAAGACTGGAAGGAAAAAAAAGTAAGGATAATTTTCAGCATATTTAATTTCTTTCTACTTGTCAAGCTACAGGACAAAATCTCAGGATCCTCAAAGACTATTTGTTGGAGAAAAAATTGGTGGATCAGGAAGATATACCTAATACTTTTAGAGATAGCAGTGCTATAAAGGCATGAAGTTACTGCAGCTGATGCATTTAGAGACCTCACACTTTCAGTGGAGCTTTTCATAGGCTTGTGAGAGTAAAAAAAGCACTTAGAAACACCAATTATATAAGGAAATAGAAAAGCTATAGGATGTTTTCACCATAATTTCCTTTGAAATTAGTTAGAGATTAGCATTTTTATATTAATTTTGCAGTATTTAATGGTTCTTCTCTAGTTGTTTGCCAGGTCCATGAGTGATGGCAGTCATTAATACTTCCCAGCATAACAATATGACTCTAAGTGTGTACGTATTTTCTTCATGAGTCCTATCTTGACCTTTCACATGGAACAGTTCTCCTCCCAGGGAAATTTTACAGCGGTTTTTCCTCTGCCTGATTTTTTACTCTCTGACTGGACTTCTAGTTCTACATAGGGTGCTTGTTGAAACCGACTGATTTTTCTACTATAATGTGAACCTTCAGTCCTAAGAAAAAATTTTTACTCGGACAACTCTTTCTGCTACTTCTGTGCTGTACTAGCCATGAAAGTTTTCGTGAAGGTAATAAGCTCAGCTCTCCTTAAGCAAAGTGCTCTTTATACTCGGAAATCTGTTTGCATGATATTAGACCGGACAGTCTGTATGACCCACAAAGGCTCAGCTTAGCCTTATGTAATTTTAGACATTTAAATAAATGATTCTGCTCAGTAAGAGTTCCCTTCAAATCTGTGCAGAGTTTTAGGGCCTCAGTGGACTGAATCAATGTTTTGCAAGTACTTCTCTCATTGCATCAACTGTAGAGGAGGAATGTAAAGTTACACAGCTGATGAATTCTATGCATAAGTTTAACCAGAAGGAATTTGCGATAAAGCATAGTGTCTGAAAATTAGGTTCTTTTAAATATATGCCCTTGGCATATGATTTTACTTTAATAACTTGTTTTGCCTAAAATTTATTTAAAAATAACTCACTGAACAAATACCCCAAAATAAATCTGTCTTTGGAAAGGAAAAAATACTCAGTTAGTTCTTTGAAAAGAAGAGGGTTAAGGACTAAAGAGTGATTTCAGCTGAACTTATTGGTGATTTGAACGCTTGACTATTGTCAACTTTCAGCTCCTAAATGATATAACATATATTAAATTGAGCCCTACTTAGAACAGCAATAATGGTGTCATGGTAGATTTCCAATTTCAAGAAATAATAAATAGCAAGAATTCTTAAATCCAATAGAGGAAGATAAGGCTTCTCCACAGTATAAAATAATATTTACCTTTGCCTATTTTTCCTTTATGTTTTTCTAAAAAAATTAATAATATTAAAGAATAATAGTTTTAAAAAAAATTCTAGCAGAATAGATGAGATGGACAGAAATTATACTTATTGAACCAGTAACATCCAAATAGTGCCATGTATTATTCTTGC